GGGGACAGGAAGCAGATGGATGAAAAGATTCCTGTTCAGTCACAAGGTGTGTTTGGGCTTCTCCATGCCCCCTGAGGCTGCCAGGCCGGCAGCAAGTGCACAGCAGGCCAGGCTGCCCACCCACTCCCCTGTGCCTCCTCAGCAGCCTTCACCTGGCCAAGATCCCCCAGCTGCAGGGCGGGACTGCTGTCCTGGGCTGGTAGGGGGCTTGCATATGCTCACATGCTTTAAAAACTGTAAGTTCCAGCAAAGTTAATGTCATTGGTTTTCAAAGGAGCTTCGGGGTCAGATCAGATATTTAGAGCTAAAAGGAGACCTAGATTCCTAGTCATGGTTTCGCTCACAACACCACTCTGCCCCCGGAGTTACAGGTGCTGTTGAAATGTTGGCCAGTGGTGCCAGCAGGGTGAGCACAGGACAGGTGGGCTGCATGTTGTAATGTAACTCTGAGTGCCACAGCACAATCTACAGGGTTTGTAGAAGGGGCACGCAGACATTGGTGAGTGGCCCTTTCAGTGTCCATGTTTCTTTGACTGAAATACATTACGGGAACTAAAATATTTAAAATCATAAACATTTAAAATTGAATAGAGTGGACCATACAAAATATTTCTTATGATGTGTTCACTAAGGACACGAATCATAGATTTCCCTACTAATGTATCAACACAGATACTTTTTGTGTGTCTGACAGAGACTTCCTTTATTAGGCCAAGAGTGGCCATGTACACAGATTGACAGAGCTGCTCCTCCCTGGACTGGGACCTCCCAGCATCTTCAGGAGCTTCCGAGCCAGAGGCAAGTGAGGACAGCACCAGAATGAGGTAGGGCCAGGAGGGGCAGGACAGCTGGGACGTGGACCCCAGGCAAAGGGCAGGGAACAGTTTGGCATGGACCTTTTTTTTTTTTTTTTTTGAGGCAGAGTCTCACTCTGTCACCCAGGCTGGAGTGCAGTGGTGTGATCTTGACTCACTGCAACCTCCGCCTTCCAGGTTCAAGGGATTCTCCTGCCTCAGCCTCCTGAGTAGCTGGGATTACAAGCATGCACTACCATGCCCGGCTAATTTTTGTATTTTTAGCAGAGGCAAGGTTTCATCATGTTGGCCTGGCTGCTCCCAAACTCCTGACCTCAGG